CTTTCAAGGCAGGTGAAATTGCCGACTAGAAAATGTACAGAGAACTTTCACGGCGCGCATAACGGAGATAAAACACCTCAATTATTGGGAGGCTTGGGGTTTCCCTAAAAACCTGTATTCCCTGGAAGCAGGAGGGAGAGATACATGATTATATACACCGGAAAACCCTAAGGACTGTACCGAAACTTGCACACGAAATCACCCACTACGAAAGCAAAAGACTTGGCAGACGATGCACATCCCCCAATGAAAAGCAGGGGTGTACTGGGCACGTTATAGAACATAAAAAAAAGTGTCAGGGGCCCGAGCTGTTCAACTTGCCTCCCAGACACAAAAGGGGGGAAATACCAACAGACCCTGGCAGTCTTCAAAGCTGCACTGGACAAGCACCTAAAGTCAGTTCCGGATCAGCCGGGCTGTGGCTCGTATGTTGGTTTGCGTGCAGCCAGCAGCAACAGCCTGGTTGATCAGGCTCTGATCCACCAGGAGGCCTGGTCTCAGACCGGGCCGCGGGGGCGTTGACCCCCGGAACTCTCTCCAGGTAAACTCCAGGTATGGTCTATATACAGTATGTGACTGATGTCAGCTTTGGTCTGTATACAGTATGTGACTGATGTCAGCTATGGTCTATATACAGTATGTGACTGATGTCAGCTTTGGTCTGTATACAGTATGTGACTGATGTCAGCTATGGTCTGTATACAGTATGTGACTGATGTCGTATGGGTCTGTATACAGTTTTGTGACTGTTTGGCAGCTATGGTCTGTATACAGTATGTGTGATGGAAACCCTATGGTTGTATACAGTTGTGGACTGATGCAGTTGGTCTGTTACGGGTAATGGGGACTGATGGCAGCTATGGTCTGTATACAGTATGTGACTGATGGCAGCTATGGTCTGTATACAGTATGTGACTGATGTCAGCTATGGTCTGTGTACAGTATGTGACTGATGGCAGCTATGGTCTGTATACAGTATGTGACTGATGGCAGCTATGGTCTGTATACAGTATGTGACTGATGTTAGCTATGGTCTGAATACAGTATGTGACTGATGGCAGCTATGGTCTACAGTATGTGACTGATGTCAGCTGTGGTCTGTATACAGTATGTGACTGATGTCAGCTATGGTCTGAATACAGTATGTGACTGATGGCAGCTATGGTCTACAGTATGTGACTGATGGCAGCTATGGTCTACAGTATGTGACTGATGTCAGCTATGGTCTGTATACAGTATGTGACTGATGTCAGCTATGGTCTGTATACAGTATATGACTGATGTCAGCTATGGTCTGTTTACAGTATGTGACCTGATGGCAGCTATGGTTTTACAGTATGTGACTGAGGCAGCTAGGGTCTACAGTATGTGACTGATGTCAGCTGTGGTCTGTATACAGTATGTGACTGATGTCAGCTATGGTCTGAATACAGTATGTGACTGATGGCAGCTATGGTCTACAGTATGTGACTGATGGCAGCTATGGTCTACAGTATGTGACTGATGTCAGCTATGGTCTGAATACAGTATGTGACTGATGTCAGCTATGGTCTGAATACAGTATGTGACTGATGGCAGCTATGGTCTGTATACAGTATGTGACTGATGTCAGCTATGGTCTGAATACAGTATATGACTGATGTCAGCTATGGTCTGTATAAGTTGTATCAGGTACTTGTAGAAATCAAGATTATTACTATACTGACAGTAAAGGTTAGTAAGACAGAATAATCCAAGAATGTGACATTGATAACATTGACGTCCCAGCACTAGGGGGACCTTAATGCTGGTGAAGGACTCTTGATCCAAGGCACGGAAGCTACCTTCCTTGGATCATACCTGATTAACTCCCATTCTGAAGGAGCTGTGTGATCCCTACGGGCTTAGTGCTTTCCCAGAAATCTAGTAATTTCAATATAAATACAGCAGATCCTACGATAATTTTGATAGAAAAAAATAGAGAAAAGAGAGAGTTTCAAGGTAGATAAAGAGAGTGAGAGTGAGTTATATTTATTTATCTCTTCTCCCCCCGTCGCCCCTCCCTATCACTCCCCTACCCCCGACGCCCCTCCCTATCACTCCCCCTACCCCAGACGCCCCTCCCTATCACTCCTCCTCCCCCCCAGATCACTTGATGTAACCCCTGTCAGTAATTCTAAAACCTGTCACTGTTACCCCGGTCCCTCCATCCCCCCCTCTCTCTCTCTTTCTCTCACACACACACTGAGGAGACTTTATCCAAACGTTGAAGATACATCACTGAACACACTGTATATACACAAGTAGAAGAAATATTTGAGATAATTGGTAAGAGAACAATCAAAACAAGAACATAAAACTTCTAGGACTTAGATGCAGAACATATATGGGAAGAACACTGCAGTAGGCCTATTGGCCCTTACTTGACAGGTTCTTAAATCCTACCCTTTCCACTCATATACGTGTCTAATCTGTTGCTAAAACTCCCCAGCTGTTGACTGGTCGACAGGAGGAAACAGGAGACCTGACAGCCATATGGGGGAAGAACTCTTCTCCGGGCTGAAGGACTGACCACCTCAAAACTACGTCTTCCAGGTTGACTGACTGATTACATTGTCGCTACATCTAAGAACATAAGAAAGAAGGAACACTGCAGCAGGCCTACTGGCCCATGCAAGGCAGGTCCATGCCACCCCCCAGCTTAGACTAATGATCCACCTACCCATCCACTCTACTGTTCATGTTGCTTCTGTATTCGACTGAAGAAGCTTACTGTGTAGGTGAAACGTTTCGGAATAAAGATACCTAACTTATCATGATGGAAGAGGAATTTTTAGTACCTGCAGCAGGGATAACAAGCAGTGAATAACAAGAGAGATAACAAGATCAAACAGTTATGAAGTGTGGAAAAAGTAGAGCAGAAAAGATACCACAAACTCTTCCCTAACATGGTGCTTTATCAGTCAAACTTTTAATAAAATAATATTAATAATACCTTTATTTCTACAAGTACATGTACAAGGTATACAGACCATAGCTGACATCACTGAGCATTTCCCGCAAATTATGTTAATTTTGTCCCAGGATGCGACCCACACCAGTCGACTGACTCCCAGGTACCCATTTTACTGATGGGGAACATAGACAACCGGTGTAAGGAAACACGCTCAATGTTTCTACTCTCGCCGGGAATCGAATCCGGACCCTCGCCGTGTGAAGCGAGAGCTTTAGCCACCAGGCCACGGGGCCGGAAGAATTAATTATTGTAGTGCTTGTACACTACAGACAGGTGATGGTAGTGTGGCACTGTAATTACAAGTCAGATAGAGGTCACCGTTGCCATGGTCCACCACGGCGACACTCAGACCACTTGGTGAGTCAGTGGTCACTGCTTCAGTGGCCCACCACAGGACCACCTTCACGTGACTCTACACTAAATGGGTCATGCAAGGTCACCAGACTGTCCTTGTAAGGATTATTATTAATGGTTCAACTTACAACAATAATAAATTGCCCTTAGTAAACATTATAGGGTCTTGGTTTATCTGTTTTTCCCAAGTAATCTCTCACTCCTGAGGAGGGATAGTCTCCTCCCACTTCCAAGGTGAGGGAGAGAGAGCTTTGCTCCTTCTCTCACCCTGGAGGTAGAGTGAGGGAGGTCTCCCTCACTCTGCTTCCAAGGTAACATCAGGGTGAAGTAGTGTGACCAGTCATGCTGCTCTCTCCTCCCTGTGAACCATGACTCACCTTTTCTCCTCTTCCTCCTCATTACTCTCTCCTTCTCTTCTTCTTCCTCCTCCTCCCCCCTTTATTCCACCTCCTTACCCCTTCACACGTTCTCTTTCATCTATACAATCTGAATTTCTCTGCATTAATAATTTGCCAGTGAACCCTCCCATGAAGCCCAGGAGCTATGAATCAACACCTTAAAGAGGCCCAGGAGCTGTAGATATTACATACGAGTATATTAAGATTTTCAGAATATATATTATTTGATAATAATTGAAGCACAACTTAGAAAAATACGTCTGAAATGATATATTTAAATGATGAAAAGAGAGAGACGCCATCCATAGATGGCCGCTGATTATAGATAAAATATCAAGACTTGATAGACACATAAGAGGTTAGATAGATACATAAGGGGTTAGACATATGAGAGGTTGGATAGACACATGAGAGGTTAGATAGATAATTATGTGAAATATGAAGGGATAAAGGGGAGAGTAATAAGTTATAATTAAAAAAAATCTATAGCCCCAGTGGCCTGGAGGTGACCCGGTGGCCTGGCTGTCAAAGCTCTCGCTTCAAGTACGGAGGGCCCGGGTTCGATTCCCGGTGGGGTAGAAACATTTCGACATGTTTCCTTACACCTATTGTCCTGTTCACCTAGCAGCAAGTAGGTACCTGGGTGTTAGTGGACTGGTGTGGGTCAGATCCTGGGAGACAAGATTGGGAACCTCAGTGGAAATAAGACAGACAGTCCTCGATGATGCACTGCCTTTCATGGGTAATCCTGGGTAGTCTACACATATGCTGCTATGTATGATAATCTATGTAAGTGTATTTGTGTATACCGGAGTAAACTTACTTACTGCAGTTAACTGCATAAAAAAAAATAAGCTTAATTAGTCTTTAAGTAAAGGATTAGGTTTGCCCGAAGTGAATTTACATACTATTAGATTTCTTTTATGCCTAACAATGTTCAGTCACATGCAAAATAAATTACTCTTGTACAGCAAAGAGAGAAATTTGAATTTGAATTTGAGGGAGGTGAAGAGAAAAATAAATAAGCTTCCCCTCGAGTGAAACAAAAATAGTCATTTTCTTTATAGAAAACGCGCCGCATTTAATATATATTCCCTAATTTTTATTACCCCCAATAAGAAAATTCCCCGGGGTATATATAACACCCATGCACTGCTCCTCCATCTACCTCTGACCCATCAATAAAAGACGAGAACAAAGACAATATGTCATTATATTTTTTATTATCTACCAGATTTGTATTTACATTGAATCAGCTGTTTAACACACCAAGCGAGCGTTGAACTCTCAATTTATGAACATTTTAGCTCGAGAACTCCATATATCTGGCGTCTGGCAGAGTAGGAAAATCCTGCAAGGCACCGGGAAGAGTGAGACACAGGCGGGGTAAGTGAGAGGTGACCTTTGACCTCTGGAAATATATATGGAAAAAAGGAAGAGTTGGCGAGTGTGATGCTCTTGTATGGCGTCTGGTCAGTCAGTGGTGGGGGCACCCAGGTTATCCAGGTCACCTGGGGGTCATTTTAGGTCGTCTGGGCTCGGCTTGGGTCGCTTCAGGTCAGTTCAAGTTTTTGCAGCTCGTCTCGGGGTTGCTTCGGGTCATCTTAGGTCGCCGTGGGTCACATCAGGTCGCCTTGGGTCATGCCAGGTCGCCTTGGGTTACATCAGGTCGCCGTGAGTCACATCAGGTCGTCTTGGGTCATGCCAGGTCGCCTTGGGTCACATCAGGTCGTCGTGAGTCACATCAGGTCGTCGTGAGTCACGTCAGGTTGCCTTGGGTCACATCAGGTCGCCGTGAGTCACATCAGGTCGTCTTGGGTCACATCAGGTCGCCGTGGGTCACGTCAGGTAGCCTTGGGTCATGCCAGGTCGCCGTGAGTCACATTAGGTAGCTTTGCATTATGCCAGGTCACTTTGGGTCACCTTGAATCACATTAGGTAGCCTTGGGTTGTCAGGTCACTTTGGGTCACACCAGGTAGCCTTGGGTTGTCAGGTCACTTTGGGTCACACCTGGTAGCCTTGGGTCACACCTGGTAGCCTTGGGCCACACCTGGTAGCCTTGGGTCACAACTGGTAGCCTTGGGTCTCACCTGGTAGCCTTGGGTCACACCTGGTAGCCTTGGGTCACCCAGTAGCCTTGGGTCACACCCAGTAGCCTTGGGTCACATCCAGTAGCCTTGGGTCATGCCAGGTCACCTTGGGTCACATCAGGTTACCTTGGGTCACACCAGATCATCTTGGGTCACACCAGGTCGCTCTGGATAGGCCCTGATCACTCCAGGTCACCTGAGGTTGCTCTAGGTTGCATGAGGTCACTTCATGTTATCTGAAGGTGGCCCATGTCACCCTAGGTCACTCTAGGTCATCTCAGGTCACCCCAAATCACCTCAGGTGACCCTGGCATGGGGCTCACCCCATGTCCTCATGACAGTGCCAAGGCAAGAGGAAATTTTAAATGAATATATTTTTATTCCTTCATTATTTTATTTCTTGAAGGGATAATGCTGTATCCCAGGGGCTGTATCCCAGGGGCTGTATCCCAGGGGCTGGCTGGGGTTCGACACTCAGGCTCTGGATACCACGGCATTAATCATCTCTGAAAACACTGGTGACAGTACCCTAGGGTTCAAAATTTTAGATGATCGAAGTACCTCTTAGCACAGTGGTAGCATGTTCGACTCAACTGAAAGGTCCCATGGAGGCCCTGGGGAGAGATGTATGGACAAGTCACCCAATGGAAACAAGTCACTTGGGCTGACTTTTGGGTTATCCTAGATAATTTACACATATGTTATATAGGATAATTGTACTTATGTGTACCTGTACCTAAGTAAACTTACATCTGCTGCCTATATTGCCTAGTTATAAGTAGATAACTAGGAGTTGAGAGAGTTTGAGAGATATGAAAATACCGATAATTGATCAAATGGAGTCATTTATTTGATTGATTCAGGTGTTAGTTGACTTATGGGTAGCATTAGGAAGAATTACCTTAGAACTCCAGTGGAAATAAACCACATTACTTTGCTTTCTAGGGTTATCCTGGGTTATTTACTCTTCAGGGCTAATTGAAGAACTTTTTTTTAGCATCATTATATATCTGTTAATAAGTAAGTTTATTTAGGTACAGGTATGCATAAGTACAATTATCATATATAGAAACATATGTGTAAATTACCAAGGATAACCCAAAAAAGTCAGACATATTTGTCTCCGTGGCCCTTAGGTGCAAATTTTCATCAAAGACAAATAGCAGTGCTGGGGTGTTGAACTGGAGGAGGATGAGAAAGATGGTTGTGTTGGGGTGTTGAACTGGAGGAGGATGAGAAAGATGGTTGTGCTGGGGTGTTGAACTGGAGGAGGATGAGAAAGATGGTTGTGCTGGGGTATTGAACTGGAGGAGGATGAGAAAGATGGTTGTGCTGGGGTATTGAACTGGAGGAGGATGAGAAAGATGGTTGTGCTGGGGTATTGAACTGGAAGAGGATGAGAAAGATGGTTGTGCTGGGGTATTGAACTGGAGGAGGATGAAGAAGATGGTTGCATGGGGGTGTTGATGAACTGCAGGAGGATGAGAAAGATGGTTGTGCTGGGGGTGCTGAACTGCAGGAGGATGAGAAAGATGGTTGTGCTGGGGTATTGAACTGGAAGAGGATGAGAAAGATTGTTGTGCTGGGGGTGCTGAACTGCAGGAGGATGAGAAAGATGGTTGTGTTGGGGTATTGAACTGGAAGAGGATGAGAAAGATGGTTGTGCTGGGGTGTTGATGAACTGCAGGAGGATGAGGAAGATAGTTGTACTGGGCTGTTGAAGAACTTCATGGGGATGAGAAAAGTGGTTGTGCTGGGGTGTTGAAGATGAGAAAGATGGTTATAACCTGGTAACCCTCCAAGGATGGGAGGTGGAGGGGGACTGTCTTGATGCTGGTGAAGGGCTCTTGACCAAAGGTACTGGAGCTATCCTCTGCTTCTTCAGAGGAGGCAGAGGATAGCTCAGATATGCATACCGTGTTTTGCGGCTTATAAGACTTGTTTTAGTTTGGACGTAACCAGGAGAGCTACAGCCTACCCCACACCCCAAACTTATAGCTCCCGTCATTGACTTTCAGTTTATAGACGCAGGGTCTAATAAGCCGCGAAATGCGTTGTATGTATGAATAAATACCACAGTAAAAATAGGAAATAAAACCCAGATGTGTGTGTAAGTACATGAAAGCACTCAGGTTTTATTTCTTGTTTTCACTGTGATATTTTTTCATGCATTTTATTGTGATTTCTTCCATACATGTAAATATGTATGTTTTGGCTGTCTTGCAAGGAATATTGAATTCATTTTTCTTAAGAATAATATTGCTGATCTTAAAAAATAAAAGGCACAATACCGTGACTGGAACAATACACAAATAATCCGCACATAGAAGAATGAAACTTATGACAATGTTTCAGTCCGACTTAGACCATAGATTAGTTGCACCAAGTCGGACCAAAACTTTGTCATAAGTTTCTCCTTCCTTTGTGCAGGTTATTTGTGTATTGTTCCACTCACAGTATTGTGCCGTTTTATTCCTTGTGCTTAAATGCTAAATTAGCTCAACAAAAATGTTAAATGATTGGTACTGTCTCACTGCTGTTTGTTATAGTACAGTGGAACCCCAAGTTTCGGCCATAATCCATTCCAGGAGCTAGGCCTAAACTCAAAACAGCCGAAAGCCAAAGCAATATTTCCCATAAGAAATAATGTAAATACAGTTAATCCGTTCCAGACCCACAAAAATATTCACAAAAAATACATTTTTTAAAGAATAACTAGTTTAACATACAAACAAATATAAATACTTAAATGAGTAATAAATACATAAATAAACATTCAAATAAACATTTAAAATCACATTTATGTACCCTTATTGAAGAGTCTTGAGAGGGTGGACTTAATGTTTGGAAGGGGAATCCCCTTCCATAAAGACTTTAGGTAACAAGTCCTTATCTGGGGTTACTTCTCTTCTTTGTCTTTTAATGCTGCTAGGACCACCTTGAGAGTCACTGGACCCCTGTCACACAAAATAACTTTCAAGGCTGCTCTGTTTCTGGGGTCTCTCTAAGATTTGCCTAAAATGGGACATTGTTTTGTCACTGAACATGTTGCAGAGATGACTTTTTTCAGCTTGCTCAGTGTGGTATTTTTCCACAAAACTGCAACTTATTCCACATTCCACACATGTCCTTAATCACTGAAGAAGGCACCTCCTTCACTCCCTCTTCCTCCTCTGAAGCAAGTTCCTCAGCTGTGGTCTGATGCTGTTCCAGTTGAAGCTCTTGCTTCAACTGCTGCCACTATGAAGTTTCTTTGGGCCCATGGTGGCATATTTCACATTCACAATCAATAAACAAGCACTAAACACAATGAATTTATTGTGAAATGTTTGGATGAGCACGCAGGGTAATGTTCACTCAAGGATAAACAAAGCTAGACTGGCTCACGATGCCTGAGCGGGGAGGCAGACAGGTCTGGTACGACGGCCGAAACACGGGGCAACGGCTGAAACTCGGGACAAAATTTAGCCAAGAAAAGCGGTCAAAACTCGAAGCAGCTGATACTCAGGGCGGCCAAAACTCGGCGTTCCACTGTACATATGTATTTATTGTATGAATTATTACCAACAGACAGTAAGTTACAAGAATGAAAGAATAGAGAAATAGTGATATAGGCCTACTGGCCCATGCTAGGCTAGGTCCAACTTACCCACTTATTGAGTCACGTATCTGTCGAACCTATTTTCGAAACTGTATAAATTGCTTCACCGTAATCGTGGAGATTCTCCATGACTACAGTGCTCTTCGCACCTACTCCACGGTTGAGGGGCTGATTACCTCATCTTCTGTACATAATTCTACTGTCTTCAAGTTATGTCCTGGAATTTGTATTGATAAAGCCACTGGATGGCGAAACGTCTACAATAAAGATACCCAGATGTTGCACGTGTCTTAATTTCATATTGAAAACTTGATGATAGTGAAGAATATTGGTAATAAAGCTGTGCCTCTAAACTAATATTTTACCAGAGAAATTTAGTGTATTTATAATAGTGTTGTTAGCAGATGGTCAGCCATGAGTTTCCAATAATGTAATTGAAGTTTAAGGTTATCATGTAAATTGTGTGGGCTGGCTAGGTACCTTACCTTGTCACACTTTCTCCAGAATTAATTCAGGATAGACAAGGTCATCCAACAATATATGGACAGAATAATCTCAGTTCTCTTGGTAAATACCCTCTTTGCTTATTAACCCTTTGACTGTTTCAGGCCCTTCTCTGAAATTGTCATTCTATGTCGCTCAATTTTTGAAAAAAAAAAAAATTATTTTTTCTTATGAAATGATAGAGAATCTTTTCCCGATGGTAATGACACCAAAAGTTCGAAATTTGGTCGAAAACTCGTGGAATTATGCTCCCACGAAGTTAGCGGTCTCGGCGACATATGCGTATCGGCGATTTCGCCGACTTTGAGCCCAATTTTCAGCCAATTCCGTTGTTCCAGTTGACCAAACTCATAGCTATTTCTTTAGAACTCCATTTTATCTATCAGCTGAGTACAAGAAACCTCCCATTTACTAATTTGGACTACCCAATATGGTGGTCAGAAATTGGCAATTTGGCTAATTTCACGCAAAATAAAAAAGATGCCAATTTCAAAATGGGGTTCCAGAATAAACAAGGTAGACATTCGTGGCACTAAAAATAACATATGCTCTGTTCATTAGTCACATCTCTAGGCCCCTCTTATATTATTATTGCTTTCTATTTTTGATTTTTTTATTCATACAAAAAAATACAAAATTTACTGTTATGCAGACGACTGCATTATTGTAAAAATGGTATAAATAATATCAGTGCACTAGTGAAAGAATATTAGACTCCCCAGTTGACGTGTATTGGACGTGTGGTGTGATTTATTTACTCTTGAACATTGGTAAAAATCGAACATTTCCGCTACTTTGAGCTCAGTTTCAAGGTCGTTTTCATCGTAAAAGTAATGAAAATCATCTCTATTTCTGTAATATGTTTTTCCTTTTTATCACCTAAGACCATGAAAACGCGAATACAACGATAAATACTATACGAAAATACACCTCAAAGTCGGCGTTTTATTCCAAAAAAACGATCTGAGTTTTTTTTTTCTCATTACGCAATGTGTGCTGCAGGATTTTTTTTATGTGGTGCACACTGACCACACAGACCCATTCTCTCACATGTGGGCCTACCAGCTTTCTCCCACTTGATTTGAAGCCGCTAGAATTATTGAGTATATATACGTCAGAAACATTGGTTCGTAAGACGTATTTATACGTCGAAAACAGTCAAAGGGTTAAAGTACAGTTTATGAAATACCGGCTAGGAAAGTTTTTTTTTTTTTTTTTTTTTTTTTGTAGCCTGCAACAAGGAGAGCGAGAGAATGCTGTTACAGTGGTACCTCGAGTTTCGAACCGCTCCCAACTTGAACAGTTATGTAAGTTTATTATTGTAAGTGCTTTTGTATGTGTATTTTTGGGGGTCTGAAACGGACTAACCTAATTTACATTATTTCTTATGGGAATAAATTCGTCCAGTATCGGCATTTGAACAGCCTTCTGGAATGAAGAAAGTTTGAAACTCTGGGTACCACTGTATATTTTTCTAACATGTCAGGTGTTTCCAATGAAGGCAGGTTGACCCAGAATATGGTAGATGATTAACATGTACTCAAAGAGAAGGTAGTGTGTGCTGCAACTAATGTATGGAGGTTGTGAAAATATGATAATTAAAGACAGTTTTCTCTTTCCTTGTTTTGAAGTCGGAGAGATTTGTGCTTATATGTGTATTAGATATCTGATATGTAGGTAATGAAAAGGCAATTGTAAGGAACAGACTACTGTATTGTGATTATGGTTTCTATACGAATAGTATTTGGGACCTTATGAGCTGTTGGAGTGTGAGCAGAGTAATATTTAGTGAAGGGATTCAGGGAAACCGGTTATTTTTATATAGCCGGACTTGAGTCCTGGAAATGGGAAGTACAATACCTGCACTCTAAAGGAGGGGTTCGGGATATTGGCAGTTTGGAGGGATATGTTGTGTATCTTTATACGTATATGCTTCTAAACTGTTGTGTTCTGAGCACCTCTGCAAAAACAATGATTATGTGTGAGGTGAAAGTGTTGAATGATGAAAGTATTTTCTTTTTGGGGATTTTCTTTCTTTTTGGGTCACCCTGCCTCTGTGGGAGATGGCCGACTTGTTAAAAAAAAAAAAAAAGAATTAGCATACTCTCAGCTTACTGTAGATGACTAATTGTAATTAAGGGAATTACTCAGGATATTTGTAACTGTTTATATTAAAAGTACTGAATAACCAAATCATTCTGCTGTTTTGTAAATTGTACATCTTGCCCCACCATGTAAGATAGCATATATATGAATATTTCTATACTTGCAGGTGTTACAGTTCCTCCTGTGGACAATGAATGAGAAGAAGGCCCATGATAATGAAACAAAGCGGCCAGACACAGGTGAGGAGTTGGAGACGGCACTCCAGCAGAACACAGAACTACGCCAGGAGCAGGTGGGACTGCTGCAGGAGACTTGCATGTTGGAGGACACGGCGGTGCAGGAGACGCAGCTGCATGACGCCTTGTCTATTCATAACACGAATCAGCCAGAACCAGATGGACCCAAGGAGCCAGGAGGGCCTGTCAGGAAACTGGGGTTTAGAAGTAAGTCAGGCATTGGACCTCCGCCTCGGCCATTTAAGAAAGCTAGGTATGCTTGGGAAATTAAGAACTATGAACATACTTTAAGCAATATGACTCAGAATCTAGGTGAATGTTCAACAGATATTCAGGATGACAGTCAAGACTCTCAATCTAGTGATGTAAATAGTGAGGGGAGTCAAGAAGATGGTGTCTTAGATCCTAGGGAAGGGTTACCTGTAGGCAGCTTAGACAGAGCAGCTTTTATGGATCCGAGAGCGAGGCCTCGACCTGATCTCATGCCGCCCATCATGCCAGCACCATATCCAACAACGTACGGCATGATGGCTGCCCCACCTACTCCTGACGCAAGCTTACGGCCAGGTGACTGCTTAAAGGAGGGTCAGCAGGTTCCTCCCGACCCAGATGCTGGCATATTGAGATGGCACACGAGACAGTTGTGTCGGAGCATCTTCGACAATACTGTTAACCGAATGCTAGAGAATATGGGATTCTCACCTGTAACAGAAAGAAGCCAAGGGATCCACCCTCTTTTAGTCTTAAGCTTAAGTGATGATGAAGAACGAGAAGCAGAAGAAGCCCAACAGCGAGAATTAGAAAAGGAAGCTCTTAGAGCAGCAATGCATCATAAAGGTCTCTTTATGTCTCCATATCATTATGACCCACTTGAAAGTGGCACCACCACAGACTACGACTCATCTGACGATGACAGTGATCTTGGCGAGGACCCGGGGCCGGACGACTTGCCTCACGATACTCACCTCCACATGACTCACATGATCAGCAGACCGTTACCTCGTGTACCTGCCATGTCAGCTGTGCCCACCATGCCTGCCATGCCCATAATACCCACTGTGCAACTAGCTCCCCCTCCCAGTCATCCCTCGTCCCCACATCCGATTCCGCCCCACCGGCTGCAACAAGAACAAGACTGTGATTTAGACAAGCATGCCTGTGATTCAGCTATATCTGGAAAAGATACAAACTGTGGAAATGAGGACTCTACCGTCGACAGCAACAAGAACTCAGTAGGGGACCACAGCGACTGTACGGCAGCAGAGAGTGAAGAAAGCAGAGATGAGGCAGACAGAAGGCAAGCAGACACTCCACACAAAGCAGAAAACGAGAACAACAACGATAAATTTTTTGTAGACCAAGCCATCGAGATGGCCATTAAACAACAAGGCTTGGGTTATCAGCAAGCGTGATGGCCCCATAGCTTAACTAGGTCAACAAGTTAAATTGTTCTGTGCTTTTCTGCCATCCCTTCCTGTGAGTGTTGCTGAATGTGTGAGTTTTAGACTAGTTTCTTGCTGGACACTTGAAATGGTGTTATTTGTCATAGGTCATAATATAAAGCTTTTTACAAACAGACTTTGGGAAATTCTTTGCTGGTGAAGTCTAGCATCAGGTGACTTCTTACTATATTTGCATTTCCTAGTCTTTTCCAAGTCATATATTATGTTATAATTTGTTTCTGAGTATGATACTCAATAACTTATAGATTCCGGCATGTCAGACTATTTCTACCTTGGCTTTGTCTGCTAATTTACATGAACAAAGTCTCTCAAGAAACAATCCTAGAGTTGATATTATTAGGCAAGTTACAAGCTTTAATACATTCAGAGTTACATGAAGAGGATGCACAGCGAACTGGTGAACACTTTTATTGATTCTGTAAAACTAAAGATTTTGATAATTATATCTAGTGTGTGTTCACCAGCTCACTCTGCTTCAGCTTCATGTTTCATGTACAGTATTCATTATTTGATATAACCACATGAAGTATCACAGAGTTCCTTATTTTAACAAGAAATCAAACTGTTTTTTTTATATTATATCAACCACTTGTGTTGTGGTATCCACTCCAGTAGACGGTGAAGACCTCTGAAGGTGTGAATGTCCATCAGTGATATACACATGTAATTCCCAGGTAAGAGTAACTCCAATTCCTGATATATACTGCATAATGTTGAATCTTTTTAGATATTTAGAATGAAAAAGATATTGATTTTATTGCTTGAGTGTGAGATCAGATTTCCTGTAGTACAGATATCCTCTTTATTTGTCATTGCTTTGCCATAGTGCAGCTGCTTCAATGGTGCTTAATAGCTGGGGAAATGTACCTTTTAACTACACTAATTGTCTGTAAATTTAAGTTTTTTACACATGTTATAAATGTCTCCTGATATTGTTTGTAGAATTCATGTGAAAACACTGATGGACTGACAGTCAATTAGCCAAACTTGTCGTGATTAACAATGCATAACCAGGAGCTTTGCAAATCTCATTACTATATTTTATATTTTATTACAGTACATTAATGGCATTGATTAGAGTTGATGCCTAAGAGAAAGTAATAATTATTGATGATTATTTGTAAGTATTGATGACAGTTCATGTGGAAAAGCCTGTAAAGACAGGAGCATAGCAGTAATGTGAATAGGATCTGACTACCAACAAATATATAAGATTGGCTGTGCGTGTTGCCTCCAGTGAGGGGTATTCGTGCCATGTTAGTATAAACAGGGTAACTGAGCTATATAGAACTGGTGAAACAGTAGCATGGTGGTTCTGTCTGGGTAATCTGGCCAGAAATGCCTACCAGTCATGCTGGTAACTGGATTCTGTGGCTCTTCAGTTTTAAGGGCCTTATAAGGGTGGCTAGGTGGTTTGAGTCATTAAGTTAAATACAAGAGTTGGAGTATATATTAAAACACTGTATTTAAAATGAAGATAATGACAATAAACGATGGTGAATGAGTCCAGTGTGATAATAATTGAATGACTGGATTGTGTAAGCACTGCAAGATATGTTTTTGTTCATAGTTAGACGGGGACGAGGAGGGCAATAGATATGGGTGAGTTTCCTCAGTGAAAAAATGCAGAAAAATGTTTGATTAACTGATTTTTTTTTTTTTTTTTTTTTTTTTTTTTTTGGGGCATCATTTTCTAAAAGAACGTTATATAAGTTTTATAGGTTTTTCCCCTATTTATTACACAATTTCTGCTATATATAAAGGTTTGCCTTGAACAATTATTCAGATGCAAAACACTGCAGGAAGCAGTGCAAGATCTAAATAATATATTGCAGCATCTCATCTATACACAGTGCAAGACAAGACAGAGAGGAGCTTAAGTCAGATTTTCCTCTGAAATATTTTGTTAGTAAAGGAGGTGCTCACACAACAGTAATCTCAACTACTGTGTATAACACAGTAATGTATTATTTTTTGTTTTCAGCACACTGGCCTTCTCCCACTATTAATTTATTAATTTATACAGGACAAGGGGATTATTAATGTATTATATTTAAATTAGAATACATATCAAGTGTTATATTATTAGACTTAAGCAAACTTTTGTTATTGTCAGAAGAATACCGGATATCTCGTCCTCCAGAGCCTCTGCTTGGATTCAAACCTTTGTTAAACACTGTGCAAAGTTGAGTACCATACCATGTTCGCTACCACTTCTGTGTGGTACTATTTCACATACCTAACAGAGCAACCTATTTTCACACCACAGAGAACAAAAAGACACAATACTGTGACTGGAACAGTACACAAATAGTAACCCACACATTGGAGAGAGGAGCTTAATACAATGTTTCAGTCTGACTTGGACTATGTACAAAGTCACTCTTTGTAAATGGTCCAAGTTGGACTGAAACATCGTCGTAAGTGTCTGTCTCCTACGTATAGGTTACCTGTGCACCACATCGCAAGGACATGCATGCAGAATTTATCGTTTCCTTGTGCAGCTCAGCCACCATATTACAAAACATGTATCGGCTACTTTGTTAAATTTACTGTTTTGTTGAACATGACATTTGTCTTTATTGGCTTATATTCCGTAACCCAGCCTAACCTAACCTGACTTAAAATTAACAAAATTGTACTTGTATATTAGCAGGGAGCATTAAGAAAATTAACATTAGTAATTGTCCAAGAAAGTTAACATTGGGAATTGTCCAAGAATTTTTTTTTTTTTTTTTCCAACAAGTCGGCCGTCTCCCACCGAGGCAAGGTGACCTAAAAAAGAAAGAAAATCCCCAAAAAGAAAATGCTTTCATCATCATTCAACACTTTCACCACACTCACACATTATCACTGTTTTTGCAGAGGTGCTCAGAATACAACAGTTTAGAAGCATATACGTATAAAGATACACAACATATCCCTCCAAACTGCCAATATTAACATTGGGAATTGCCCAAGAAAATTAACATTGGGTCTTACACAAGAAAATTAACATTGAAAAAACAAGGATAGGTTAAACAGAGGTTTGAATTTGGGTAGTGGTGTTTGGCATTAAGAAACAGCAATAGAGCTACTGTATATGCAAAAAGGAAGTCACCCTTTATACTTTGGTACATTCCTCTTTTTGTATCCATTAATAAAGTCTTTTTCTTTCTATAGATTCCTTCACACTTCACCTACCCTTATTTTTCCTCATGTATTTTATAATTTTTCTTATCTTTCATAGACCTATTTGCTGACAGTCATTCCTAAATATCAAATGTATCACTTCTTCCATACTCTTTCATCCATTCTAATGTCCAGTCTTTAATTGCCTTTATGTCTGCTGACAACCACCACCTTGTTCTTTTTTTTTTATGTTCACCATCATCTTCCTTCTTTTACACACCCTCCCAGAGAACTCCACCAATTTTTGCACCTTCTTATCCAGATCTCTCAGAAGTGTTGTCTCTCCAGCAAAAAGCTACCATGACCAACTTCCACTTTATTGTGTCTTTTAACATGCCCACTTTTCCCCAACACTATAGCATTCTTTTCTTTTATGACCCTACAAACATTAAACAAGTGACATGTCTCTTATTTTTTTTTTTTTTTTTTGGTAAATACTTCCCTTCTCTCTTGTACACACTAACCTGAGCCTCACTCTTCATGAAAACCTTAAGCTTCAACAACCTACCACCTAGTCGATACATTTGCAACACCTGTTACAGCCATGCTACCATGTGCAACAAACAGCTTTGTACCTTTATCTTAGTATTGCTCACTTACAAGCTTTAGTGTAAAAACTTGACCTACACATCCACTTCCTTTCCAAGATTCATATTGTTTCTCTGCACTCCCAGTTTTGATAATTCTTCTGTACACTGTACCAGGTAGCATACAAGACAAATTTATTTATATTTCTTATTTACTGTTACTCTTACACACTTTCTTATCCCCTCTTCCCCCATATACAAAGAACTATGCATGCTATACACAGATAACCCACATATAGGAGAGAGGAGCTTACGACGATGTTTCGGTCCAACGTGGATCGACTTAGGTCCAAGTCGGACCGAAACATCGTCGTAAGCCCCTCTCTCCTATGTGCAGGTTATTTGTGCATTGTTCCAATCATGGTATTATGCCTTTTTGTTAGTTAACTATTCATGCTTTCTGTCACTCCTTAAATGTCTTCTCTTTTTTCAGTCTTTCCAAAACTGTCCTCAGTTACTTCTAGAATTTGTTTTAATTTCATCCATTCCTGCTGCTTGACATTAAAGCCTACCTGCAGCCTCCATACTCACCTTTGGCTTCACCCTTATAACAGTTCTTGATAGGAACAGCTAACCTTTGGTTTAAAATAGTAAGTTTGGAATATATTCTGGCTAGTTTTCATGATTTTATTGGTTCTTTCTTGGTATCAGTTGGTTGGTTTCATTTAGTTTGGTTTCAGACTGGAAGTAGCTTGAAATAGGCATGAAAGTGGCAGAAATATTCAGTTATTGGCAATTTTTCTAAGATAGGTTAGAGACCCCAATATTTACCAGTCTCCCTTGGTCTATTTTGTGTTTTTTGTTTTTTTTTACTAGGTCTACTTCATTTATTAGGAAGGCCTAAACCATGATCAATCATTCTTGGTTATATTTTATAAGCTGAGAAATAGGGTAAAACTTTGATTTTGTTTGTGTGATAGTGGATTTAAAATAGAAGGCAATTCTTATGCAGAAGAGACCTTGGGATGTGATTAATAAGCAGAGCAAAAGTTGTTTTATTGCTGAAATGCTTACAGTCTTTATTTTGGACTTGGAAATTGGAATTTATTAAATTTTGCGTGAAACTGGCCAAATTTCCAACTGTGCTCTTTTTAGGGTAGTTCTCAGAGTTGAATGGGTAGTTTCTTGCGCTCAACCACTAGAACGAAAGGTCTGAGCAAGGAAAATGGCCTAACATAGTCCTCAAAGTGGGTGAAATTGCTGAAGCATAAATTGCACTAGACTGCTAACTTGGAGCTTGTGTAAATCTGAAGATTTTCCGTCAGATTTTACGTTTTAGAAGATTTTTTTTTAAATTGCAATGCTAATGGGACTCAATTTTGGGGTCACAACAGTACAAGGGTTAATACTGTACTGTATATGAATTGCTAAATCTTTTTCCTAAACATCCCACTGTACCTTTGTCACTCTAAAAATTCCTACTGTGCCCTCCACAAGTCTCTCTCACTTTAGCCCAAAACAATTATTCTCTCGTCTCAAAATTCCTTAATGTTTCAATTAACACCTGTCAAAATCTCTCCCTCTCTCCCCCTCTATGTTTCTCTCACCTTTAAATACCTAGACATCTGTTATAAGTCATTTTTCACATGTAGCTTATTTTGAACTACATGATTTGTTTTAATTTAAAAATTTATACCCCCTTTTACCACAGTTGTTCATTTACCTTTCTTACTGCTACTTCATTATTATTGTTCTCTCAGACACACTTGTCTTAATTCCACATACTCCTCACCATTTGAAATCTCCCATACCATATTATTTTGTTTTGTTCAGCTCATGTTCCATAATAATAATCAACAGGTCTTTTTAACATCCATAATGCATCCACATGCAGTAAAAGGACCCAGTTTCAAAATTGTATTCTGATTTGTTTTAATGAATGTGTTCAGAAAAGAGGACTACTATTCCCTTGCTTTGTACATTTTAGTTGCCTTCTACAACATACATGGTTAGTGTGTATATGTATACCTGGGTTTGGGTTCTGGTGAACCTATAGGAATGCAACCTTCCCCTTCCTTCTCTGTTCTTCGAGCCTGGATGGTGACGTGTATTCTGTATGTTTGGTACACATACTGTATGATGGCAGTACATGTGCATGGGACAGTTTGTACATAATGTACACTGTTCTGTCTAATTTGCTTTAATGTACTGTATATTACTTTAAAGCCACATTTGAGATACTGTATTTTTATAATATGTCTCATTGCTGACCTGCCTTTATCACCTGACTGGGTCATTAAAAACACTACAACATTCTCTTTTTTATCCTTGGCCATTGCAGCAACAACAAAAATCAGTGAGACTACAGCAGTATCTTGAGCAAGGTGATGCAAGACTGCATGTACTTGCCTAGCAATGTTTGTGAGAAGTGAACTATTATTCCTGGGCTCACTCTTATGTACGTTTGTGTTTTCATTTGATTTTGTTATCTTTATTTTGTTCTGTATATACACATATACATCAACAATGTATTGAGTATGATTCATCACATGTTGACTTGTTACCTTAGGATGGTTCTGGGAATCACATCCTTCACAGCTTGATCAACCAGACTCTTGGTACTAGCTGCATGAAATATAATATAGGGCCACAGCTTCACTGATCAAGAACTATCATAAGAAACTTATCCAGTTTGTCCTTGAAGACACTGGTAGTCTCTTGGTAATTCCTATTATATATGCAACAAACACATTACAAAGTCTTCATTTCTCTTTCCGTTCTTTGAGTTGCCTGTCAGTGTATACGTTGCTCTCCTGCTTTTCAGTGGAAGTATTTTACATTGTCTGCTGAGCCTCTTGACATTTTTTTAACACTGGTCATCTCCCACCAAGGTACGGCGACCCATAAAAGAAGACACTTACTGTTGTAGGGA